GAGGGGGAGGGAGGTTCTATTGTACTTGACTCGCGCATGCAGATACCGAGTGTACAGGGGGACATGATCTCTAGCGCGAGTCCCGCAGTCCTCAAGCATCGAAGAGCTCTATCGTAATCCGCGTTTCGGATCAGCGTTTTCAAAGACAAAGAGCTGGGAAAAATGTAGCCTTGGTCGTGTTCGTGAAACTTCGGATCGGGTCTTCAGAATCCGGTTGAATTGCGCGAATTTTGATGATAATAATTGTTGAAAGATAATTTACAGGTTTGATTTTTTGAGAATAATAAAAAATATTTGGAATATAAATTATATATGTGTTATTTATCGAAGATGGAAAAAAAAAGATGAAAATTGTCATTGAAGAAGATCAAATTATTTATATTCGGGGAAATTAATTTGAAATAATGGATATATAAAATGATATAGAAAAAGGATTTCAAGATATTCGAATTTAAATAATCTGAACGTAGCTTAAAGATTTGATTATAATCGTGAATTCGTTGAGAGGATCACGGAAGTAACGATGTAACTTGGTTTGATATAGATATGGACATGTTAATATGCGGGTGATAATTTAATGGGTCAAACGCTTTTTTCTCGCGGTCTTCGTCTTATTCGAAGTTAACTAATGTCGTATTTCCGGTATTCCAATACCGCGATCTACATACCGTAGAGTACCGGTTGGATCTCTGGGAAACCGGTCGATCGTGCGTTTCATTGCCTTTATTATCTTTCTTTTTCTCAGACATTCGCTATATTAACCTTAACCTTGAATTAGTTTGATACATTTCTTTTTTATATTATATCTATATACTAATCTATGTTCATACTCGAAGAAAAATTATAATGTTGTGTATCACATGTGAAGCAAATAAATTTCTGGTATTCGTAATTATATCTTTACATCTCTTATTCTTTATTGATAGTTACGAATCATTATGTTTACTTAAAATTCTTTGGAAACGATTTATATGAGTTTCTTTTTAAGATTGAGGAACGTTATACAGGATATCATAGGAAAAAGTCTAAGGATTTATACTATAATTATAAGAAATAAAATTGAAATAGGTTATGAAACGTAGTTTAAATTTCTTTTAGAATTATTTATAATTAGTTTTCAGTAATCAATAAAACATGCTCTAATTAATTATAATAACATATGGAGAATATATATTGAGTTTCATTAAGAATAATAGATATCGTTATATACATAACCTTTTATACATAACCTATCTAATTAAGAATAATCTATTATTTTATGTTAACATTCCTTGTATAACATATATTATAAAGTAAAAGAAAATTATAGCAATTTATATTCAAAAAGAATGCAATCTGCCTTTTATTTATTTATAATATTTATCTCGTTTAAATTCAATACTGTCAATTATTCAAAATTTTATATATAATTTTTATTATAATATACCATACTAACCTAGAAATAAAATTTTTCTAAAATTCTTTAAAAAAACATACACCATTTATTACTCGGTCCAATAAATATATATGACAAATAACGTGAAACAGCATCAGAAATATTTAACTCGTTCGTTAAAGGAAGTTCAGCTAACGTTCTAACAAAACAGTTACGTAGACGTTCTCCGCTCGTTAAAACAAACTGCACAATACCACACCATTTCACACGTGCCGAGCGAAACCGAGGTTTCATCCCTTCCGACGAAATAATACCGACACTTTGAATCGTTCCCGACTGATTCATACTCAGATCATTTAACGAGAAAGTTTATGATAGTAAAAGTTTACGGTGGAATACATAGTATGTAGATTTTTTCGTAGCGACGCGACATGTTTTCCTACTACGCCGCCACCTACCCAGATCCTAGGTTAACGAGATCGCGGATCGATATCTCGTTTCGAGAGTGGCAAACTTTACGACGGTCTCGCCTGGTTGCGAACGTTCGGTTGAAATTCGAGGGATCGAGAATCGATTTTTGCTTCGTCATGGTCCCATGTTTTAATGCGAACGAACAGTAAATCTTTCTTTTGCGAATGTACGAAACCTGTTTCACATGTGCGCGTCCGGTAACGATGTTGTCCGTGCAAACACAATCATTGATGCAAGAAGAAAGCATCGAATAGATCACACGTAACTTGTGGCAACGTAAATTATCGGTAGTGGGGGAATAAGGCGAGACGATGGATTCTGAAAATGACAATGAGCCCAGACGTTCCGCACGTAAATCAGTAGACGTTTGATTTATCGGTGTTCCCGCTGCATCCGCGCTGTTTTAAATCGGGCGTTATGAAAGAAAATTATCATCGGGTATGTGGTTTTCCGGAGGAATTATGCAAATTTACTGTCGGTTTAGAGAGTATCGAGCGATATTTCAAGTTAATGGAAAAGGAATAACATCGGAGTATGATCTACCTTCTCGCCACGATTAACGGTTAATTTAATGGCGAATATTTGAATGTATGTGTGTATGTATGTATATGCGTATGTATTTTATGTAACATTTAATTTATAGAAAAATTTAATTGTATTAAAGATTCATTGAAAATTCAGATTTATTGAGAATTTTTAAATTATTAGAAGTATTGTGATATTAAATGAGAGATATATGCTGTAAAAAAAAAAATTTCATATAATGGTGAGTACATAAATAAAGAAATGCTTATTTTTAACTTTTAATTTAAGTAATTGAATTGATTATTAAAAAATTAGATGAAAATTTAAAACAAAATTATTTATTATTTGTTTATTATTTCTGAATTTTTTCTAAATAATTTTAATGAAAAATCAAATGTAGTAATAAGAGAAAAGAATCTAGGTTAATAAAAAAATAAATTAAATAAAGTATTTATACATTCTATAGAATAAACATTGTGTTATGATTTTGTTTTAGTATTATAAAAATATTTATTTTAATTAATTTTTTCCAAACAATATAATAAAATAATTTTCAGTTTATTTTTTAACTTTGACGTGAAATTTTGTAGTATTGTATTCCAATAAATATTAAAATTTTAATATATATACAAGAATTATTGATTATAATTGATTTTAAAAGGCAATAAAAAAAACTTTGTTGTCTTTTTTTCTTTCTAAAAGTATAAAATAAGTTTTTTTCTTTATAAAAAGTACCTTCTAATGTAATATATAATATATTTTCTCCTGTTTATTTTTAATCTATTATTTTTCCTCCTTCATTTCAATATTTTATCTTTCTTACAAATTTAAAATTAAGATTAATATTACAAGCATTGAAAAAGAAATATAATATTATTCTTTATTCATTTATATAATATTTTTCAAAATTATGTATACAATATATATCTTTGTTATTAAGGAGAAAACATTTTTAAATTATTGAATATTTGAGAAATAAAGTATCAAAGATAATGTGAAACGTTTATTGGACAAGGACGATTCCAAGAAATTCTCTTCAAGAATTTCAAGAATGCTTTTATTGTAACTGTTAAGGCATCTAAACTATTTCAATTGAAACTTACTATTCAACAAAAGTTACAAAGTCAAATAATATAAATGTTCATTCTACATAAGAAAAGTTTTATATTTAAGAAGATAAGACTTTTCTTGATAGAAATCTAAACCTTTAAGATTTGAAATATTTATTCAAAGGATATAATGACAATTAATAGACTTTGATATTTTGTTATTTAATATGTCTTTTATTTAACTAGAAAATATTTTTAAATAATTATGCTTTAGACTTTATTTCAACAAACAAACAATTTCAAT